TACACCACCTCCTCTCGTTTTGATAGAAGCGGTTTTGTCTCGGTCTCGTCTATACACATTATATCCACTCACAAAAAATTCACAGTCGAAACACCCTTCATTGAGCCAAGTTTCTATTAGAATATAAACATCGTAATCATTGTTGCTTATTTGCTGACGCACTTCAGTCGCACTTGAATTTAGTCCTCTTACATTTTGATAATATATCTTCAGATCACTATACATAAATCTCAAAAATTTTGGTCTAAAAGATAACGAAATAATGAATTCGGAGTTAAATTAAAAGGATACAAAGCTGAATAATTTCGTAAATCACCTATACAGTATTATTACAATTCAAATGAGAATGAGGAAAGAAAAAAATATAAAAATATATATATATATATGTATATAATAAAAAGCACCAACCACTAAACAAGATTAGCCAGATCCTGGGTATTTCTAATCAATTTATATTCGGAGGTGTCCGTCTTTCTCATGAATATTTTACCTCCTCTTACCCAAACAAATTTGTAGTTAACCTCTTTTGCTCTAAGCCTAGCTGATGCGTGCAGTGCCTTCTGCACAGGCGATAAGTGTTCAGTTACAAATACTGGTTCTCTGTCACCGCCAATACCCAGTAAACTAGTGTTTAGCTTATCAATAGGATTTTTAATATTCTTGTTAAATCGTAGCGTTGCAGCCAAAATGTTATCTCGTGTTTTTTGGGAGTTAAATTTTACTACTATTGATCTCGGGCGTTTGGTGTCGTTGTTAAATTTCGCTATTCTTGTACACAGTTGTATGTCGTTTTCTTCCAATTCACAGTTGGTGACTGCAGCAATTTGTTTGACCAAAGAGCTTAGATTTTCGGACTTGTGTTCGGGTACGTTTTGAATTTCTATGTTACTGGCTCTTGAATGCTGTTCCATCCGAGTAATTCTAGATTGAAGGTCGGTCACTGTATTCTTAAGAGACGAGTTTTCTGTTTCCAATTCAGAGATACTGTTTGAATTCAATTTAATTTCAGCTCTTAAGCTCTCGTGCTGTTGTTCAATGGTTTTAAGTGTGTCCGATATCTGGTTAAAGCGATCTAAGACTTCATTTGTTTTAAGCTGAAGCTCTTTCATTACGCTTGTTCTAAAGCTATCTATAACTTTTTCCAGTTCTTCCTTGATAATTTGTCGTATATTTTCCGTTATGACACGAGATTCATCCGAATGTGGAGGCTGACCTCCCCTTTTACAGTTGATGAAGTCAGTTGAAAGCTCGGCTTGCTGATTGAGATTCTCCTTTGCTGGTTGGTGATTGGACCTTACAGGTGTATTAGTGTTATCGGTTTTAGGTAACTTACTGACACAGCACGGGCACGTAAACGATGTTTTGAAATCTTCGGTTAAATCCTTTATTTGCTTATGTATGTTAACACAGCCCAGGTGGAATTTTAGCTTACACGATTGACAACATAAAAAGGTCGACGACGACGTCTGTCGTTCACAACAACCGAACTTGACTTTTGCTTGAGGCATAGTACATTTGATAAGTAGGTAGCACGGAAGCAAGTGTACTTGCCCGTCTGAACGCTGCTCAGATGTTCAGAGAAGCTCAGCCCACCGTTCTTTAAGTGGAGTATTGTATTATTTGAAGGACTGATTAGATCTGAAAAAGGGTATTTTTGGTAGTAAGTTTCACTGGTGTGGCAACACTTTTCTTAAACTTCACGTCTCGGTCCAGTTTGACAGTCGTCAAAATCGTTTTTAGCCCTGTCACTTGAGTTTGAAGTATAGCACATTATTAATATTGAGGGTATTTGTATTCTGTCGGAACTGAAAGTAATTATTTCCACTTAACTTTAGTTGATTATTTGATTCCACAGCCCTTGAAAATCGCAGATAACGGTGGTGTAGCTTCTCTTCAATATGACAATCACCGTTCAATTACACTCGAACACAAAATCTTCTTTTAAAGAAAATATGATAATTTTATATGTTGGAGCGATTTTAGTAAACACTTTTTTTTTAAAGTTAAAAAAAATATTGTAAACATTGGGAAGGTAAGGATTTTTGAAAAAACCGAGCTTGTATCAATAAGCAACTTAGGCACCCACTAAACGTTTAATACATAACTATTCAAGTATTTTAAAATACTGGCCAAATTTAAATTTTGATAACCTTGTGACAAATATTGTTAAATATTCCTTTCATCGCGTTTCAAATCACAACGGTGCTTAAGAAGTTTTTACTTCAAAAGTAAAAGCGCACTAATTATTTTATTTCAACTGAGTTTTAAAGGACATTGCTCAAATTGGCCTAAATGCACAAAAAATATTGACATACACGGTAATTCTTGGCGTAATTTATAATTTAATTTACAGTCACTACATTTCAACGGACACCTTTGTATAATATATTTACTTTAAAAAGGGCTTTTAATTTTACCGGTTTGGAAAACATACGAATTATTTTTAATGGCTATCTATGGGTGTAGTAACAAAGACTAATCAAAATTGGTTATATAACATAAAAACAAATCTATTTTGTAAAGATCGATAAAATAAATCATTTTTTTTTATTATACTGTGGTATTAATATCCACAACTATATTATCATTTTCACTAGACGCAAATGTGCTCAGACAATTATTATAGATGGTAGGCGACATCATAAAGTCTATTGCCATACATTTTTCGCCAAACACCTCCATAAACACATTATAATCTGTATTTAAGTTAAACTTTAAGGTATCTATCTATGGGCTTACGTTCCCTGACTATAAATTAATAAATAACTAAAATTATAAGGTGTGATACACTAATAATCTAAAATATGGTTATCTTAAAAACATAACAAAAATAATGAAGCTACTGAATATATGGCTATAGAACCTAAATCTCTTAGTTTTCTTTGGTTAACGAGAGTTTAAAAATTCTCTCTAATCTGTGGCTCATTCACAATCATCACACAGTTTCTGTCACAGAGTATTTTATTATAACCGGGAATGACACCTGATTTTAAAAGTTACTCTTATGCATTAACTTTAAAAACAGACAACTATCTGTTAATGTACATGCTCTATATACCTGAATCTAATCCATAATTTCGGTACTTGGCTTGATTTCCCTAGTTTACTATATAACTTATTTGTTGTTTATTATTTTAATATGTTCAGTGTATATAGTTTATAGAAGTTCTCAGGGGTGTCCGTCAATAATATTAGTTTCTACAGTAATTTATATATAATTTCGAATCTAGGAAACAATTTTTCATGATTATTGGTTTTTAGGCCAAACATGTATTGAAGCTGAACATTCTCCTTTGTTTTTCTATCTATTCAAGGTCTGTATAATCTGATGCTGAACATAAATTGACACCACCGCCGAAATTAAAAGAAACTACCTAAGCAGTCATTGAGAACACATTAGCCGTGATATCAAGAAATCAATAAAAATAAAGAATAAAATAAACTGCAAGTAAGCTCCCAGGCAAAAGTTTAGTAACTATAACAACTGTTAAAGAATTTGTCTTTTATTGCCTTGTAGGTAGGGATGCAAAGTCTTTTGAAATATCGATATTTATATCGAAGTCAGGAAAATATCGATATCCGATATATCGACGATTTTAACTCGATATTATCGATATTTTTTTCTTTTTTGCTTTGGATTAAGTTTGCAAAGCAAAAACCTAAAATTAAGGAAGCAAAGGTTTCCAAAATATCGATATTTATAATGTGGGCAGGTAAACATCGATATCCGATCCGATATATCAGCCATTCCAACATTTCCAACACGATGTTTATAGACATTTTCTATATTTTTATAGCGCTGTAAGAAGTATCAAATCAAAAGCAATTTCGAATCAAAGATATTTATTTTGTTTAAAATGTTAAAACATCAGGGGCGTGCCCAAGGCTTCAGAATAGGGTAAGCCCAAAGCTTCCAAAATTACTATACCTATCATACTTTCTTGACTTGGCGAGCTTAAAAAATTTACGATTTTGTATAAGATTCTTAATTTTATTTTGTGTTATATTACAATGATATTTCAATTAATCAGTAGTTGACAATTATCTAAAAAGAGAGGCAAGGATTCTATTTAAGTGCATGAGTTACCATTAGGTATACGATTATACCTATATACGTTGGTGTCGATTCTGGCATGATTATCTAAACTTAAAACTAAATTTAACATCAGTCTCTTCTTTTCATTCTGTATAGAGAATGACAAGGATACACTGTTGTCAAATTTAATTTTAGGTTTAGAGAAACATGCCAGAATCCACACCAGTTTAGTATATTTCTTGGGGTTCAAGATTTTTTTAATACATCTATAAGCTCTTGCGATTTCAAAGCAATAGTTATTTCGATAATTTTCAATTTAGATAGTCATAGCAGGTAAATTAACTGATATTATTGTGTTCAAATTTAGTCTACGAAATATCGATATTTTGGAATTTCCGATATCGATATTATCGATATCAGTGAATTTTAAATATCGATATTTTGGTGTCGATATTATCGATATTCCGATATATCGTTGCAACCCTACTTGTAGGTACAGTATAAAGCACTAGATATTCCTAAGCACTAGGATTCCTTTGAAAGAAAGTGCTATTCCCAACTCAAGTATATTAAGGCCCTCGGCTGTGCCCCAAACTACACCCTCGTTGGTAATCGGTCCCTTTCTACCGAGGGTAGAAAGAAAGACAAAGGGTCTTAATATATCAACAACCTGGCATTACAATCGTACTTTAGCCCTTTAAGCACTAGGCCACAGAGTTGAAGTCTGGAAAGATAAAAAGTTGTTGTTTCTTTCACCGATGCATGATAGGATACAGTTTCAGTATCGAATAAAAGGGTTTGAGGAGCACATTTAAAACAATTTTTTTTATATGCCTAAATTTTACAAAGCATATAATATGTGTACATGATTTGCAAACATTGTGGTGGATGATGGATAGTGTTTACGAGTGCTTTGAATTGAGGATTTAAGATGGCAGATACGTAAGTGGAGGAGTATTCTTACATTGAGTAAAGTGCCGGGCATGTCGAGATAGGAGACACCGGGCCTGCCGACGCTAGCGTGGCGGACGGCGCGCTCCACGTGCAGGGGGATCAGCTTGGCAGATGGTGGCCGTGCCGCATACTTGCAGTACATACGACTAGAATCCACCTGTTGTGACATTGAAAGATCAAATCAAAAGGTTTTATTGCTGATATAGGTACATTTAAAGTACTTAAAGGCTAATACACATCATTAACCACATAAGCGTGTCCTGCTCGGCTCAACGGCTCAAAATAGATCTGTTTAAATTGTGGTGCATGCTTAAATTAAAACAAAAAGGGAAGATACGGTACGCTCATACTAGCATCAAATAAAATATGATCAGACTTAACTACGTAAGCAACTCGCATACACGCACACGTCTGTATATAAATATTCAATCGTGCGAGCGAAACAGAACTGTACGCTTCAACGCAGTGCGAGCGAAACGGCGAGTCCGCTTTCGAGTTTTTTGAGAGTTGCTTATGTAGTTGAGTCGGATCATATTTTATTTCATGCTAGTATGAGCGTACTGTATCTTCCCTTTTTGTTTTAATCTAAGTTGTCAAACCAATATTTGCTACGTGCAAAAAATTTACATTAAGGCATAGCCTATTAAAGCATTGATCAAACTATCTTACACTTACACTATCAAACATACAAAATATTTTCTATCAAACTAATTGTCTATCTCATATAGTAGGTGCATTATACTCATATTTAACCTTTGATATTGAAACTATCTTATCTGTATTATTAGGTTGATAAAAGATATACTTATACCACTCACATTTACTTCCTTACCTGAATATCATTGTCAGTTATTCTTTTAAACAATTACTAAAGTACTTTGTTGGTCTCAATAATGATATTATAAGCTATGTTAAAAAAAATTGCATATCAAAGTATAATTTATAATAAAATCTTATTTTGACTCAACTGATAAAAGAAGGAATAGCATAAAACATATGAAATTAACATACTTGAGGCCATTCCTGAAATCCTCCAATACCCTCATGGTCTTCTGGACAAGAGCCTGCTATGACTAATAGGGGCCAGCAGTTGACTTGTGCATTGGCCATACCACCAATGCAGTGCAGTAGACCAGGTCCTGAGACTGCTAAACATACTCCTGGTTTGCCTGTTAATATAATATTGCAAATGTTGAAGGTGAAAAACATTACAATAACATGACACCATTTGAATGAAATTACTGCATACTATACTTATTTTCACAATGATGATGACCTTGTGGTCCTACTAGTGGGACCATGAGGAAGTGCTATACCTCATTGTCCTATTGCAGAGATAAATTATTAATTTTATTATAGTTATTAACGAGATTGATAAAATGTACCTTGTTCTTATGAGTCTCCGATATTTCAGCACTGTTACAAGTGACATGATCATGGAGTAACTCTGAGTCCTTACAATACAGAGATACTTCTTATGGAAAGAAATCAGTTATTTCAATAGATTAATATAGTTAAATTCTCAAAACTTTTATTTGAGACGATTTTTAAATATAGAATAAAAAAACTGAAAGTATATTATTCAAATAGGTAGGACAACACTAAAAATTTTCTTCTTATTGTTTCAGACTCAAGTTTTTTTTTACTTTTATATATTTACAAGTTGTAACATATACTTAATGTTGGAATACCTTATAATTTTACCGTTTTATAACCTTGCTTATACATTTTTTAATTGGTTTCACACTATAAAACACAGGGATTTGTCCAGTGTGATAAGTACAAATATAATGCAATATTATACTAAATATTATAATATTTATAGTTAAGATACATATAAGTTAATACTAGTAACCTGTTAGATAACCAACAGCTTGAGCAGCATAACATGCGGCCTGTTCATTTCTCATGCCAATATATTTTAATCCTGCAGCTTGGAAAGCCATTGCTGTTTCAATGACAGGAATACCAACAATTCCAAATACATATTCGACACCCTGAAATATAAAACTTGTAAAATTAAGGAATTCTTTAATGATATGACATTACTTAACCTGTGTGACTGCAATCTAATGATATGACTTCAATTAAGGGTTGTAAGCATTTAAATCAAAAACAAAAATAGGTATGTAAATTTATATACTTATTAAATATTTTTTCAACAATAAAATCACAGTTAAAATGTCTGAGATTTAAAAAAAAGGAATGTTTGGCAGTTTAGCTTTATTAAATCTTGTTTAAGTGACAATAAATACCCAAAAATTATAACATAAAGTTTTGTTTACAGATTCAGAAAGTAAGTATACTTACAACTCTTTATTAAAAAAAAACTTAAACTAAAAAAAATGAAAAGCAAAAATTAACTATTCATTTTATAAAGTAGTTAGGTACCTGTTTCTTCAGGCTTTCAGCCAGTATTGTATTTCCGTCAGTAACCATGCTGCTGCTGGCTAGTTTAGAAGTAATATGAATCGATCTCCTGAATGTGAACTGTGCTAATCTGTTAAAGAACAACATTCTACTTATAACACCAAGAACTAATTCATATAAAAATATTAATATTCAAAGTATTAACCACTTTCAACTAATAAACAAAAATAATATAACAAAACAAAAGGCAACCAAACGTATGATATGATCAGCTGGCATATAAGTTTGCAAGTACTTTAGTCAAATGTCAAAGTCCATGTCCAATCAAAAAAAAAGAGACAACAACTTTATCTGTCAAATTCTGCGTGAATTCTGCCTAGTCATCTATTTATTAAAGATTAATCTATTTTACAGCGCGAACGTAATTATTTAAATACCTAAGGATTTAATAAACTTATAGTCCTTAAAGTACCAAAATCACAAAGTACCTACATTAATATATACTAATACTGAAAACCAAACCTGAGCAGAAAAGTACAGCCGAAATTTTCTTGATAGTTGCAACTGAAAACAAAATGCGCGGTGTAGACAAGGCAATTACCTTGGAAATAAATCAGTTTTGTTAATTACTTACATATTATAGCAAGTACATATGAACGAGAATTATGATAAGAATGATAGATTACAAAAGTAATAGGTACTTATCTTACTTATCCAGTTATTTTCAATAATCTTTCAATTTAAAACACTAAATGGTTAGTAAAAAGGGTTAAAACCAAACTCAATATGGCGAATCAGTCAGTTTTGGGTTTTGAACTATGAGGTTCAGGTTGCACTTAGGATCTGAGGTTTTGAGCACGTTTTGGGTACAAGGTTTTAGTGGTTTTATGGACAGGGTACTTTCCAAATTTTTGAAAACTGCTTATATTTAAAGATTGGAACAAACGATTTAACAGAAAAATAAAAATAAATTAAGTTGACGTCACACAGGAGACGTCATCGAACCCAGCGTTCTGGCGGTAAATTCAAAACCATTAAAAATGAATTCAACTTTAATTGGTCTAATGGAGAAAAAAAGTCATTAATTAACTTACTTTTATTTTTCTGTTAAATCGTTTGTCCCAATCTTTTAATATAAGCAGTTTTCAATAATTTAAAAATATTTTATTATGTAGGAGAACCGGTACTAATGTTGTCTCTCTCTACAATGATTGGCCCTCTTGTTTTTACTAATATTTAAAGAAATAAATAAAATACTGAACACGATATTTTTTCATTATTCTTTGATCTTGATGATTTTTTTGTGATTTTGTATCAAAGATCTACAATGGATTTTTTTAAATAAAAAACTATGTTTGATTATTGCCGTTACCCACATGCTACGAAAAGGCAGCCATTAAGTGTTCCTAAACACGTTTCATTTAATCGACACTAATTAATAAAATTAATAATATATAACTAGTAAATGTATAGATGAAAATTGTATTTTAGCAGAGTTCACCTATAATAATTCACCAAAAAATCTAAGTTTTGGTCTGCCATTCTTTGCTGATACTACTATACATTTAAAACACTTCCTGTTGATTTTTAAATAAATTAATACATATTCATAGAGAGCATTTTAAAGTCGTTTTATATTGATACTAAACCTCTATTTCATAGCATTGTGGAACCATATTCAAATGAAAACTAATATTGAATGTACTAAAGACAAACAAATGAAGAACTCAGTTTAACGCACCAATCATTGTATAGGCTACCTTATGCATATATGTACCTTTTTTTTAACGTCAGCAAAATGCGTTACGCATATCCCACCGCCTTGCGAGTGCGGCGAGGTTATGTAAGAGCGGCAAGGAAACATCAAAAACAGAAGAGAATCGAGGTCAGAAATAACTTTAAGTTTATTACAGTTATTATAGTAACTGCAGTTAAAAAGTCTGAACCAACTAGCTTGCCGACGAGAGATGGTATCCCCTTAGAGACGTTTAAAGCTTCAGGTGAATATGGCATCCTCATATTCCAAACAATATGGAATAAGATCTGGCAGATGAGTGAGAAGAAGTAAAAAGAATCGGCTCACACAATCTTCATCCCATTACACAAAAAAGGCTCTACGAAAACTTGTAGCAACTAAAGACCCATTGATTTAATATCCCATGCAAATAAAATACGTTTGAATACTAAAATTTAAGTATTCGCCGAAAAAGAAATATTATCAATTACCTATATAGTCCAGTCAATGTAGGCTTAACTTTGCCATTTTGAGTTGATCACCTGCAACCAACGCGAAAATTTCCGCAAAGGTTCGTAGATTAATATACTAAAATTGCAGGGTGCTGCATTGACGGCAAAGGGTGAAAAAAAAAAATGAAATGGTGCAAAAACGAGTTTTTCGTCAATATCTCGCGACTGACTGGAAAAGTAGAAAAAGTTCCTAGTACAAAATTGTAGAAAACTTAATTTCCTACAAAAAAGGTATCTACATATTTTCCCGTATCTCCTATAGTTTTTGCACAAAATGCAATTAAAGGTGCAAAATAAAAAAAGAAAATATATTGTTAATGGTTTTTTTTTCATTTTTAAACGATCCTACGGGTCAAATTCAACAATCACCACTTACTGAAATATTTAAGGATGAGTTTTCGGCAGTCCACTGAAATGAAAATTGTCTACCGAAATGGTAAAAAATTACCACCAAAATGATACAGCCAAGAACATCGCCTTTGTAGTAGAAGGGTTACCTATTTTGAATTTAAATAAATTTCCTTATTCTTTGTAAATATTTTTGTTTATTATTTTTTAATAAGAATTATTAATGAAGAATTAATTAATTGTTACTCCTATTAATTATTATTACGAATTATAATTATTAATATGTACATTTTAAAAATAACGAACAAAGCGCGTTTAGAAAGCGAGAAGTTTATTAGTTAGTAAATACTCCCTTTAGTGCCAAAACCGATTATCTGCACTTTTTCGCTACTGAACTTTTATAATACCAATCGACCCGTCTCATTAAGCCGCATCTACAGGTAAAACCCATTATGCTCTACGACGCATACTTCGTGAAATAGCTAATGAATAAACAGAATAACTGCAAATTATTTCCAAAATTCTTGATTTAAAACCTAATAAACCCATTCAAAACACTTAAGTTTGTAAATGTATTACCGCTGAAACCAAGTTTCGGATTTAAACTCATTTTTCATATAGACACTTAGAGTAAATATCCTGTGAGTATCCTGTAATTGGCTTTGATTATTTGAATTTTACCAGATATTTTAATTTTACTAGATGAAGTAAAAATTAACAGATCTAAGTCGCTTTTTTCAAAAACAAATATAAAGTATATTTGCGTAATATTTGAGGCAATTGAATAAGATACCGAATTTCAATTTGTTTTTACTTAATAACTTTTATTCAACGCTTTATAAATTACTTCAGCTAAAATCGATTATCGGTGCTTACTCTTTTCTTCCACTATAATTCATTAGCGTTAGACATAGTTACTTTAAAATTTATGCTTCAGCTAAAATCAGCTATTCATGTTTAACCGTCTCTTCCGTACACAGATCGCGCGCTAGGTAGTGTCGCCGCCTTGGATTTTTTTAAGGCGCCAAGTCAAAGGTAAAATATCGCCAGATTTCAAAAATTTGGATTTAAATTTAAATATACACCAAAATCCGCTAAATTACAATTACATCTCTAATAACAAAAAACCCTTATTTAAATAAAAAACCAGTGAATATGTATGAGATGCTACAGAAATAACTGTATCCCGTAGTCGTTCTAAATTAGTAAAATTTTGTTATTAAAAAAAAATGGCAATATTGTTTTTACCAACCTTAAACTTTTCCGAGCGTTACCTTAGTAGTACTAGAGAATGAAATAAAACCGGTATCTAAAACCTAAATATGTATTTACATTCATTATGTATCTATGTCATCAAAAAATAAATCTTTAACAAAATGTGAAATTTAAAATTCAATATTGTTAAATGTTACATCTTCTATAACTCCATCGACGTTCACAGACGCCGACGCTTCTGTCAATGAAGCCAATGTCGAAGCTCAAGATGTTTGGTTGTGGTTGTAGTTGATTTTTAAAAGAGAATTTTGTGTTTTTTAAATGATATCTTTTGATTGCCGGATAGAATTTGCATTTTTTGTTTGTACTTTTTTGTTTCAGCATGTCATCTCAAATTTACTACTCTTGCTAATAATTCTGCTTTACAAAATGAACAAAATGCCTTCGCATCAACACCTGCTAAAGGTTTATGCCAGGTTTGGAATTCGTCGAGTGATTTCCATTCTTTTCTATACTTTTGTATGTAATTATTTTTCTTGAATAGAATTTCCATAATAACATATAATTGAATACTCTAAACATACAGCTTCAGGAGTTCATACACTGTGACAAACGTTTCTATCAAATCAAACTTTTAAACTTTTTAACAACACAATGAACGCGAATCTAATACCTGAAACAGAATGAACGATTGAAGGAAGCCTTTAACAGACAAACGCGTCTAGGAATTCCCCTGTAACCATAAGAGTAACCATAGAACATTATGAAAGTTCAGAAAGTTAGGGGATTTCCCCCTTAAAAATATGTTGCTAGATTTTATGTTAAAAAACCACTAAAAACACTAAAAAAAATATACCCGCTTGATAATGAAAATATACCACTGGAAGCCGTGAAAAAGCACCAGTTCTGGTGGAAAAACCACCAAGGTGGCAACACTGGTGCTGGGGAGTGAGTTGCTCACTTTTATTCATTCATTGTTGAATCGCGCGCTGGGCAACAATGTTATTTTTTTGTTTAATTAATCACTAATAAACATTACTGGGTGAACTATTATCGAATATTAGAAGAAAAATAACGAAAAATAAACTTGATAAAAAAAAATGATTTCAATTTAACTTCAATATTTATTTTTATTTCATCGTGTTCAGCGCAAAATTTGCATTTAAAACATATATTTGCAATATGCCATACATATTCTTATACATTATCATATAATAAAATTGAAATCATTTTTTTTGTCAAGATTATTATATGAAAAAGGAAATAAAAAAAATGCCCGAAACATATTAATTAAATCCCAATGAAGCATGTAGAGGTGAACTCCCCAAGCAAAAAAAAATACACGGCATTGCTCAGAGCGGCAGTGCAATGTGCTGATTTATGATTTTGACTTTTTTTCTTAGTTAAGTAGGTACTTCTCAACCTTGTCAAAAAGAATA